CTCTCTGAGAGCAGAAGCCCGGACTCGAAGCCCTATCCGACCGCATCCGTAAGAAAGGATACGTATTCTTGATAGCAATAGGGTTTAGGGGTTCGGGTTTAGGGGTTAGGGTTCAGGGTTTAGGGTCTAGTGTTTAGGGTTCAGGGTTTAGGGTTAACGGTTCAGGGTTCAAGGTTGAGGGTTTAGGGTTCAGGATCCAAAGGAGCCTGAGAGGAATCTATAAGAGATTTCAAGCAAAGGCTGGTTGATGCGGTTAGGGGTTGAGAGGCTTCGGCTTTGAGTTTCGGGGGTTTAGGGTTTATGGTTTAGGCAGTTTTTAAGGTCCATAGATCAGGGCCTAAATAGTTGCCAATACTACTTTGGATTTAGGTTTTAGGGTTTAGGGTTTGGGGTTCAGGGTTTACAGTAGGGTTCACGAATAATATGGGCTTAAGGTTTAGGACCAGCTTACATAGGGTGAGCCATGAGCCAAAGACCGGTATACAGGGTCGCAGGGCAACATTATTGAGACTTTTGGCTTCTGCTATTGAGACAACAGCTGCTGCCAGTGCTTGTGGCACTACAGATAGCTACTGATCATGGTACCTGAAATATTATAGCAGTAGTCACGTCTCGCCGAGGTAGTGCAGTAGGAGGAGCAGTACTGGTGGGGGGCGTAGGAGGAGTAGTAGGATAAAGAGAGGAGGACATGGTAGGAACAAGAGCAGGCATACCAGTAGCAACAGCAGTAATTTGCATTTCTACTGCATTGCCTTTATAGCCTGGATGCCAGATGCACGCGTGTTGGCACCTGGACCTCCGGTCCCGAATCCGAAATCACCAGCCGGTCATGACCAGAAGCGCCGCACAACAGCAAATTGCAAGCCTGAAGAAGTAGCTGGGTAGTTCTCGAAATTTGGATCCGTTTTAGATCCCCCAAAATAGTACAGCACCCTTATAGAAAGGACCCTGAAGGGACCTTAGTTTAGAGAACCACCCAACTCGCACCCCGACAACGTGAATTCTTCGACTCAAGCAGAGCATCTTGGTTCCGTGTCCTAGTCAGACGTCAATGAATCAAACCCCAAAAGCCACGAACGTAAAACTCCTCAAACCCGAAGCCCTAAGCCCAGAATCCAGAAGCTTGGTAGGGGCCCATATAATTACCTATACTATTTTTTTTGGGGGGGGTTCTTATTCTTAATATAGTAGAATATCCCCCCCAAACCCTATTCTTATTCGGAAAGCCCCTTTTTGTCTAAGCCCCATGCCGCGCGAACGCACCGAAACGCAGGCCATCAAGTCGAAACGAGAGGCCGCCAAGCAGGAGGCTCTAGGCGTGCTCAAGGAGTGCTACAAGGGGGGGGTTTTGTTTTGGTTTAGGGCGGGCAGTAGCAGGGTTTAGGCCCCTAAAGCCTAAACCCTAAAGCCTAAACCCTAAACCCTAAACCCTAAACCCTAAACCCAAACCCTAAACCCTAAACCCTATTGGGTTTCGAAGGGATTTTGTTTGCTCCACGAGGCCTGCGGCCGCTGTGCATGGAGGGTGTGTTGGTTTCAGTGTTTAGAGAGCCTGTTTTAGGGTTTAGGGTTTAGGGCTTCAAAGTTTGGGGTTTAAGGTTTAGGGTTTAGGGTTTAGGGCTTCAAAGTTTGGGGTTTAGAGTTTAGGGCTTAGGGCTTCAGAGTTTAAGGTTTAGGGTTTAGGGTTTAGGGCTTCAAAGTTTAGGGGTTTAGGGACAGATTTGGGGCTGTTGAGTTTCAGAGTGGAGTTGGAGAGCAGTCTTGAATGCCTGAAGGGTTAAGGGCTTAGGGTTTAGGGGTTTAGGGCTTCGGATTGAGAATTAAGGGCTTTGGGGAGTCTGCTGCAAGACCAAATGATTGCATCACGACTTTGCTTGGCCATCGATCCCCACAAGCCATGTTCTTTCGGCAATATTTTTAATTACCATTAGTATTGGTATTTCTGTTATTATTGTTCATGATGACGATTATGGTTTGTGTTATTGCTCTGCCCTTTTGGCGGGGATCTTCCAGCATGCATCGTTGCATGAGGTTGCCGAAACATGATCAGTTTTTGTGGAGCTCCCATCTCAGGCTCATGAAGAGGCACGGAATGTTACAGTGACAAACGGGCATGGATTTGTTTAGTTTCGCTCGTCTGTATGAATGCGTAATTCATACACAAATACGGCACATACGGATGTACGCCTGCATGTATCTGCCAAACCCACCCTAACTTAACCTAGCCTAGCCTGAACCTACACCTAACCCCCCTAAGCCCTAAACCCTAAACCCTAAGCCTTAACCTAGACCTAGACCTGAAGCTGAACCCGGGCCGCAACCCAAAAGTTGAGCCCAACTAAACCCTAAAGCAACGTCAGCTACGCTAGCCCAGCCTAAACCCTAAACCCTAAATCCTAAACCGTGAGCCCTAAACCCTAAACCCTAAACCCTAGAGCAGCAACCCCCAAAACCCATGCTTAAGTGTTGAGACCCTGCGTTACGTTCAACTTCACACGGTTCACTGCTGCTTATCAGTAGAGTAGGTAACCTTTTCCATTCTTGGGGTACTCCATTCTCTTTATAATCCCGGGTTTAGGGTTTAGGGTGTTCACCTTGTATCATACTGGACAAGTAGGGTTGAGGGTTTGGGGCTGAACCTTGGTCCAATGCATCTCGCCCTTCGCCTGGCCGCCTCGCCTTGTGCACAGCTGGTTCAGCAGCTGCTTCGCTTGCACTTCAGAGCAAACTAATCACAAAACGGTTCACACAGGGGCCTGAGAAAGTACTAATGTTTTTTCCTCACAGTCCCATGTTTGTTTTTAGCATAAGATGTTCCCCAAAACCGAATAAGGCCCCTATAGTAATGGGTTTAAGGGGATCTTCTTCGTAGTTTATGGTCCTGATTCGTCCCCTACAATACCTCCAAATCCATGAAAGCACTACCACCTAAGCCCTAAACCCTAAACCTGCAGTCATTAAATATTCCCAACTTATAGTCCTCCAGCACCCTTGGTCTATTTAGTGAGACCTCTACAGTCTTCTAGGTTGCAGGCTGAGCTTCCAGTAGCAAGTTAACAGTATTTATGGTATAGACATGAGGGTCTTATTCGTAAACCCTAAACCCTTTATAGACTGCTACTGTTATGGGCAGTACTTAACGGTGAGGCTGAGAGATCCAGGCTCCTACAGTTGAGTCTTGCGCAGAGCTCTAGTGAGATTTTGGGTGGTTTGAGGACGGGGTATGGGAATTCGGGGGTTGGGGGGTTAGGTATTTAGGTCTTCAGCGGTTTAAGGGTCTAGCACAGGACTGATTCAGAGATCTGGATCGGAGGCTTAGTTGCTTGGGGTCCGCCGCTGTGAACCGCACCTCTCACCAACCCTAAACCCTAAACC